GGGAGATGGAGAGAGTGGCCAGAAACCACAAATCAATATCCAGACCCTTTCGGCCACATTTGAGCCACAAAAAGGTTTATAAGGAGTGGTTCTCAGGCTGTTCGTCTGGAGTCTGTTGTCAAGTTCAATTCTGTCAGTTCCAGAGGGGTTGGAAATATTCTGTTAAAGCACTGGACCAGCATAGTTCTGTTAAGTTTTGTACTTCTGAAGAAATTTAACAGGCAACAGGTACAAAGTTAAAAAAACACAATAATACAGAGTAAAAATAACAGCACTATAAAAATCTTCATCTTTATAATGATTTCGAGCCATGAACTTAATCTGAAGGCAACCAACTGAAAGAAAGTGAGCCAAGATGCCAGGTACTGTTCGAGCTTTATTAAAGGAAGAAAATCTGCCAGGCTGTGCTCAAAGTGGCAGGCAGCCCAGGGCTGCCCTGAAAATGGGGGACAGCAGCAACAATGGGATTGTGAGAGTTTATATTAGCTGTTGGGCACAAAATGTATGGAGGGAGGGATCATTAGGTTGATGTAACTGGGTGGAGAACTGCGCTGATGCAGAAGCTGGAAAGTTGTTTCTGTTTAAGTCAGGAGGCTTCTTGTAAAGGGAAGGGGGAGGGGCTTGGTGATGGGGTTCAAGATGAGGCCAGCAGCTGTTCTGTGCTGGTGCTTATTGTGTGCACGATGGCGCTGGTCACATCCAAAATCCATGACCAACTAAAAAAATCAGAAAACCATGGGGAACCAAGACTTGTAGCCAGATATTAGAGGAAACTAGAAGAGTTCAGGATTCAATCCAGATTGTAGGCAAAAAATAAAAACTCAAAAACAATGAACAAGGCCACAACCTAGTAACAGCTGTACTATAGTTTTTTCTTGAAATATAATTTTTTAATGATTATCCCTATTTTCACCAAAGATAATCAAAGTAAGACCAATTTGTTTGTAAAATAAGTTTAGCTTCATCAAACTTGTCCTGATTATTTCCATAAGTGCAGCAAGAATAGCAATTGACCACACAGGCCAAAAATCTCTCAAGACTAGGAAGCCAAACCAAGATAGACATTAGACTTTGCCTGCGGTACCTACAAACAATTTCAATACAACGTCTCAGTCAAAAGCTTGGTAATGTAACTAATATTTTCGATTGTGTCCTGTTATAAAGAGATCAGATAATTACTGAACTTACACAGATAGCTATATTTCCATAAAATAAGAATGCTCACAGATAGTTTCTATATTTTGGAGGAATCGGGTAAAAAGAAAAAGTAAACATTTTAATTTTTGTTCACAAAAGTCTACTTTACCAAATGGTTGTAAGTTATAGATAGCTTGAGAGAAAAAAGCTTTTCTTAAATCTNGCGGTACCTACAAACAATTTCAATACAACGTCTCAGTCAAAAGCTTGGTAATGTAACTAATGTTTTCGATTGTGTCCTGTTATAAAGAGATCAGATAATTACTGAACTTACACAGACAGCTATATTTCCATAAAATAAGAATGCTCACAGATAGTTTCTAAATTTTGGAGGAATTGGGTAAAAAGAAAAAGTAAACATTTTAATTTTTGTTCACAAAAGTATACTTTACCAAATGGTTGTAAGTTATAGATAGCTTGAGAGAAAAAAGCTTTTCTTAAATCTGGAAAATAAAACTTTAAAATAAAGAACTGACAAAATTTTAATGAAAAAGTCATAAAAGTTTTATTAGCTGCATCAGTTATTTAATTAGTCCTTGTTCTGACTGGTCTTGGTTAGCAGTTTTGCAAACTCATCAGTTTCTCTAACACAGTTTTGAAAATTCTTACTCAGTTCAATGGTATGATCTGAAAGTTGTTAGAAACCTGTATTCAAGAGCACCTGTCAGTCTTTTCATAAGTTGATTGAAGAGGAAACAATTTCTGATGGTAGCTGATTGCAGATGCGTTTAGAGAAGAATCACACAAATAACTGTCTATGGGTGACAAAGACTTACAACAACCATGGCTAAAATTCTGATGAGAGTTATTATAACCAAAATTGACAATGAAATTTGATTATTTTTGAGGCATATGACATTTTAACATAATAAGCAAAATTATGACTGATAACATTAAATCAAGATATATCAGATTTTCAGGAATTTCACATAATTTTGGAACACGTGAATAAAATATCCATCCATATAATTAAAAGAAAGTTAAACATCACTTATTTTGACAATGCTTTCCATATAATTTAACATATTAAACAAGCTTAATTAGTTAATATTGCTCTTTTACAAGGTGAGAGCAAAAAGATTTAATTTAGAATTTGATTTTGGGAAAGTTTATCAAAAAAGATCAAAAGTCTTACTACAGTTGATGAAAATAGGATCACAGGTCACTGTGGAAATAATAGTCACTCATTTAACTAGAGTGATAACAAAAATACTTTAAAAGCAAATACAGAAAGTTATGTAGATGAAAAAAACTTTAACTCTTTTAAGCTTGTTTTTTTCCCAAGTAATCAAAACTCTTATACAGACAGCACAAAGCTCAAGAAATTATCTTGACCAAACATAGACTCTTTGTTTTCTAGGCCAGTTACCAGAAAGGCAGAAAAAGCTTTTGTTACATCTTACTAAGAGTAGATGAGTACTCTGAGAAAATCTTGTCGTTTTAACACAGGGAGCCAAATTCTGGTTTTGCATCACTATCGCTTTGATATCAAAGCTCAGCTGAGAAAAATCGTAGACAATTTTAATTTTAGCCAACCTGATTACACAGGACAAAATATTTACTTTTTTTTTTGTTTTTTATTTTGATTACAAATGATTCTCTTTCATATAAAAAATTACTCTTTTTCTTTAAAAAAACTTTTTTTTTTTTTTACCAAAAATGCATTCTCATACTTACAACTGTTTTTCCATCTTTTTCTTCTATTTACTGATTCCTTTGTCTTTTTGAAATTTCCTTTCTAAATTCATATCCTTAGGGCTAGCCTGTGGCT